AGCCATTTCCCTATGTATATTACCTTGGATATAAATTTATTTTGGTCGATTTAGCAATTAGCATTAGCATCAAACAAGTTACACAATATCGTAGGCAGTGTTGGAAAAGTTCGCGATATTTCTCGAAGTTCTCCAAGGGAAAAGTTCGCGAGTCATAGTGATTTTTTGCGAACTTTTCCATCACTGATCGTAGGTCGTAGGAATTCAAAACTATTAAGAGCAAGGTGGATATCTATTACTGGACAGATAGTAAATAGGAAATAATTACTCTCTCCCAGATAAAGACACATCCTTCTCCAACAGATAAGGATTTGGAAACTTCCTTGCAATTGGTAGGGATAGGAAAGGTATGTTAGTCCAACATTTACTTAAGAGACATGCAGAGAACCCTACCGTCACAAATAATTTGAAAGACCCAGAATGTGGACGCGCACATCGGAATGAGAAGCATTACCAACGGCAACGATATCCTTCGAACGTTACACAGCTGAGTTTGACTACAATGATCACCTGCATAATGCTGCTGTCAGGAACGCCAACTATGTACGCTGTCTCTGGAGATACCCAAGTACACCAGTTTGTTTGCTTCGATCCAAAATGGCACTTTCATTTGATCACCACAAATTTTGTAGTACTGTGCTCACCACAAATGTTGAAGACTCTGAGTAGCTTCACCATCTTTCGGAAGTTCCACTGCAGTCGTACCCTTCAACTCCAACAACCCTTTCGACGGACACCAGGAAAAAAACAACAAACGTTTTGGATCTTAATGTTTTACAGACTCAACAAGGTGTTATATGATATTAGAACCCGTAGAGATTCGTGAAGCAGCAGGGTTCGTTTTGGTAAACGTACACTGAATGTAGCCGAAACCACCGAGCCGAGAACACCTCTGCACTGCAATTCTGGATGTATGGGGTAGGGTTTGCAGAAGGGTTCGGTTTTTGGTATCAGACTCCGTTATTACGGTATACTTTTTAGACTGGATTTAATGTTTGTGCATTTTAATGTAGATAATGATTTAAACATTTCAACTTTTGGTTCTTAAAACGCTTATGCAGGCAATGATGGTTTATTCTGTCGTTGTAGAGCTTGGAATTAATACCCATGATTTTCTGCTCAGTAAGTAAAAACGGTCCCGCCAGGGTCATCGAGCATGTCAAAACCACAACACTCCACTACACAATATGATTAAGTTTTCGCCTGGTATGTAATGAACAACAACCAAGTTACAATTTTGGTTTTATGCGGGTTCTGTAGACCATGATTTGGACTTAAATAATGCTATAAAACCTCTATAAAGCTTGCAATGTCACTTGGGCAGAGATACGCGATAATCTGCGGTTGATGGTTTATTCTAAATGTATGAATGGTACTGCCAAGGGCGACTACCATGACGACAACAGCGAACTTAGAACTTACCATTTGTCTAGGATATAACACCTCCACTGGATCTTCGTGTTCACCATCTGTCACTGTCCGCAACAATATCTAATAGCAGCCTGTGTTGTGATACTTTCTTCAACGAAAACAAATTTTCTTGCATTGCCATGGTCATCTGGGATGAGGCTAGTCCCCCGAGCACTCAGAATGAGCTCTTTCCAAGTCGAACAATCAAAACACTCACAAGAGAAAAAAAAAACTGAAAATTAACGCATAATTTAGATACAAATCACTTCACTCAGGTTCAAGTAGCCGGCTAACTAGCCGCACAATAATCACATAATCACTTGAATGATGTTCTGATTTAATATACAAACCCGTCGAGCTTCGTAAGACCTCATAAAGTAATGTGAGATTGTGTTTAATAATAACCTCGATTCTCTAAATCATCTGGAGTTCAGATATTGATGATCTGCAGACTTGAAGAGGTATAGTATATTGTATCGATACAATTTTTGAACCCGTAGTGCTTTTTTATGCTTTATTATATCATGTGGGATATACAAATTTGATGGCAAAGTATTTCAAGCTCTCCAAATTATTTTGCAGTTTGCATCATGAATTTCTATATGCCCAAGAATGCCTTGTACAGTAAACCAGCTGATACGCTTTGTTTTTTTTATCAGTTAATCAGTTATTGGTTATTCAGAATAATTCATAGTCAACGTAATATGTGTGTGTGTGTGTGTGTGTGTGTGTGTGTGTGTGTGTGTGTGTGTGTGTGTGTGTGTGTGTGTGTGTGTGTGTGTGTGTGTGTGTGTGTGTGTGTGTGTGTGTGTGTGTGTGTGTGTGTGTGTGTGTGTGTGTGTGTGTGTGTGTGTGTGTGTGTGTGTGTGTGTGTGTGTGTGTGTGTGTGTGTGTGTGTGTGTGTGTGTGTGTGTGTGTGTGTGTGTGTGTGTGTGTGTGTGTGTGTGTGTGTGTGTGTGTGTGTGTGTGTGTGTGTGTGTGTGTGTGTGTGTGTGTGTGTGTGTGTGTGTGTGTGTGTGTGTGTGTGTGTGTGTGTGTGTGTGTGTGTGTGTGTGTGCGTGTGTGTGTGTGTGTGTGTGTGTGTGTGTGTGTGTGTGTGTGTGTGTGTGTGTGCGTGTGTGTGTGTGTGTGTGTGTGTGTGCGTGTGTGTGCGTATGTGTGTATGTGTGTGTGCATGTAACGAAATGAATGCGCTCACGTTTCTCAGCAACCGCTCAACCGATTTGGACAAACTCGGCGCCAAATGATAGGTCTTGGGGTCCCATTGAACGCTCTTGAACGGTTTTAGAATCGGTGAACCGGTTCCGGAGATATGGCCGGAATAAGATCCGGTGAATATGGGCCTTCACGCTGGATTTAACGGAACCCGTATCAAAACCATCATGCCACACATCAAATTACTACAGAATTCAAAAATAAGATCAATGCAAGTCGTGTTAAGTGTTCCAGACCACATTGGACACACTTGGACATGTTCCGGGTACCCCGGGGAAGTTGCTTGAATATGAATTGAATTAAAACCCATTAATTCACATTAAAATACGATGATAAGGTGATTGGTAGCCTCACCAAATAGACTACACCCGGATATATTCCGGGTACCCCCAGGCAGTGGCGTAGCGTCACTGGATGACACGGGGGTGGGGGGCTTGGTCACTGCTAATGATAATAAAATAAATAAACTTGAATAAGTAAGAAGGGTCTGATCACACCATAGGTGGATAAATTCGGGTTTTTTTTTATTGTGTTTACATTCTCAATTTATCTGAGGGACCAAGGCAAGTATTCCGCCTCCCTTCAGTGCGTTTGCAATGCAGGAGGTGGAAGAAAAAGTTGAAGCCATCAAATCTGTACGGTGTTCAACCCGTCCACCAGATTCCGGCTCGATGTCCCTGCTGCTGATTCCTTGCAGATGCACAGAAACGAAGGCGTAACCCGATCGATGATGGATGAAATTGCCACCTGCTCAAAATTATATGGACATCCTTATAAAGTCCTGTGGATATCCCATCGTAGTCAATATCAATTGAGAGCAATGACTGCAAACGTGTATAAACTTACATTCATTATCTCCAGGTTTGGTTTCGATTTTCATGATCGCAGGATCCAACTAGTTTGCACCATAGGTAGCTTTTGATCAACCGTCGGTCGCTGGGGTAACCAGTTTCAGCCGTCTTGACAGCCGTATCGACAAGACCCTCTCGACCGGCCATGGTGTGGATGAACTAGATTGAAGTCAATCCCGAATAGAAGCTATTCTGGATGAAATCACGAACCACTGGGATTTTTGCTCTGAATCGGATGAGAAGGATTGAGTTTTGCTAGATTTAAAGAGATTCACGGTTCAGAGAATACTTACAGATTTTTTCGGAGCGATTCTCGAAACCGGTTTGTCGTTCGTATATTCTTGTTTGAATCGTTGGTTTACCAGTTCTATATATGACAGCAAATTCTCTCACTAGCTTCACTTTTGAGTAAACAAAGTATTCAACCGAGTAATCAACCTTAGCAGCGATTGGCAAAACGTCAACACTCAACAGTGATACCATTTTATATTAAATCGTTTGTGTCCTACTAGTCAAAGTGTGCCCTATCGTGTCGAACAGTGTTCCGTGTTGTGTTTTGGTACAGTGTGCAGAGTTGATTACCCCTTGTTTCCACCCCTTCGTAGTGTGTGGCTGACCAAACTTCCACTTGCGTTCTCGAATCGTTGATATCGGTTTTTGATGACATCGACGATGGAGCTCATCATTCGAGATCCAGTTATGAGGCCATCAGGCACGAATTTTATACCGCAGGCATCGGTTGCTGAAGACCTGTAACTTTTAAATGTTCTCCGCTGATACGCAGCACGCCTTTCTGGCGTATAACAACACAGATTACACGTTTGAATTGAAAATTCGAATTTCGGTACGTTAACTTATCTGGTTAGATTTCCATACATTTAGTAAACTCGAAAAAGCAACTCTAGCTTGCTTTATTCGTGCACCTATTAGAAACTTTCGTATTTCTCCACTGCAAAAAAAAAGTCTAAAGACATAAGAACTGCTGTCAAAAATATATTCGTTCCACAATCCGATGCTAATGTCACCATAACATTACCTTCCGTTTAGACTAATTTTTGTGGAAACTTACCTAAAAAAAGTCTGCTCAAAATTTCTGGAAACCAAATGTCCTCAGAGATCAAATCAAGCTGAACATTGCATAAGGTCTTAAGTAACATGTACAGATTCTCTTCGTCAACTTTCTCTTCGTATCCCCACGGCCATGTAAAGGCATTCCCAGGTATTTTCAGCACACAGATCGATAAAAGAAGGTAATGCAATGTTCAGCTTGAAATGTGTCCAGTCTCCCCTGTTGTTCTTTTACTAACCATATTCATAAATAAAAATTCCATATCATTGGGGATTTAGGCACCGCAGAATATTTTTTCCCCAATTTCGTCTACTGTTCTTTTAAACCAAGCAAACAATATCCCTCATCGCCCATTTCCCACCGCACCCGCTAAATTCCCTCCCACACTCTAATTATCAAACTCCAACTGATCAGCGAAAATTTCGTTCTCTTGCTTCTTTAATTTATCCCCCCAGGAGCAAATCACCTCGATGCTGTACAACATGTCCTCGAACAAGAAATCGCACCAGCACCTGACCGGCCGCCCGTTGGTGACCTTCCTCACCGGAACCTTCAATCAGAAGTTTTACGAACGAATGGACAGCCGCGTGGAAACCGAAGCCCAGCGCAAGACAATCAAAAACATCCTCCACGTTCTGTCGCGGCTCGTCTCGAGCGGTGCCATCGGATGCCACGACGAACTGCTCGAGTCAACAATAGTGCCGATTTTTTCTCGCTTCGAGCGTACCCTGGACGATCGGAACGAGCACTTTCGGGACATTTCCCAATTGAATCGACGACTAAATGAGAGCCTATCCGGTGCCGGTGCTCCGAGGGCGACTCCTCCGCCGCCGCCGCTTTCAGTTGGGACAACCGCAAATCCGTACATAACAAGATTAACCATCGAAAGGCAACCCAACGGGGGCATCATTATGCTGGACAACAACCGCCAGGAGAGTTACGTTTGATGAGCATCGAATTGCTGTGTGTGTGTGTATGTGTGCAAGATTCGATAAGCTCTTAATGCGATTGACTTGTGTGGTGCTGAAATAAATCAGTCTGCGGTGTAGTGGCAGCCTTATCAACGGAACTAGTTGATACACCGCTGAATTGTAACCGAGAGGCCTACCCGTTTCACAGAAGTCAATAAATTATTCATGATTTGGATAAACGCGAACTGTATACGACTATAGTGATGAACTACATCCAACTGATCAGTGGTGCCCTTGGGGCGGAAAATTGCAACAAACAAGCCAATTTGTGCCCGAGAGTTGACTGGGATGGATGCTGGGAGGGTGATTACGATATTTACATATGCCAGTGCCAAATAAATTGTGCGTCGTTAGAAGCGACGACAGCGGAATAACATTCATTGTAGGAATACTTTACCGTAGGTGCCATAGCCATGTACCCGTGTTGGAGCGTGTTGGATTATGTAAAGGACATAATTTAAGGCTAAGTGAAAGTAGTTTTAAGGATCAGATTCATTAATATATACGAGTATTTGGTAGACTTTATTGTGACATTACAGCGATGTGGCTCGAATCACATCAGGGTTCAACCGAATTGTAATTGACGTTGAAGAACGGTCATCCACCTTGTAAATAAATTTACTTGAAAAATAACCTGATGCTTTTTTTTTTTGCTATTCTGAGCATTCTTTGCCGAAAATCCATACATATTTTAAGTCCCTTAGGAAGATAAACGAAATGATCAACAAGTAAAATAATTGATGTACAGTCAAGAATCCTAATTGCCGGATTCCTTATTGCCGGTATCCATTATTGCCGGATCCTTATTGCCTGGTTATCCGCGAATAAGGATACCCACAGCTAGGGATTTTCACTAATATGGGCTGTGGTGGATTATATCATTTGTTTCAATCTATAGAGATATACTATCTTGGACAAAGTTGTCATTGGATTCAGGTTTCATTGGGAACCACGCCGCTAGAAGCGCTTCACTTTTATGTTACTTATGACGGGTGGATATATGATATATGATATATGGATCATAGGTCTAACATAGAATATTTTGTGATCCTGGCCATACAGAAAGTTACTGTCTTAAGCAAAGTTGTTCAAGTGACCATGTCCTTTCGGATGGTGGTCATATTATTTAAGAACTCTCTCACTACGCAACGCTAGTGTGCATATGAGCTTGCTATATAAGCTGTATCTCAAAATCCTGAAGGTTACTGTCTTGAGCATAGTTGTTCAAGTAATCATTTCCTTTTGCATGGTGTTGATATTAGTTCAGAACTAGACGAGGCTCGGTAGCTCAGTGGTTACCGTTTCTGCTTACTGAGCAGAAGGTCGGGAGTTCAATCCCAGGCCCGTCCCCTTCCTTGCAATTTTTCACTTTGCCTTATTCTATACCCACTAGATTTTAATGAAAACAAATTCTTCTTTAACACCGATCGCATCACTTACCACAGTGTGGGTCCTGATCTAAAAATAGAAATTGAGTGCGCGTGCGTGTGTGTGTGTGTGTGTGTGTGTTTGTGTATTATAATCGCTCTACCAAAAACGATCCCTGCGTGTGCGTGCAACCTTTCCCCACATCCAACATCCCTGTGATTGCTCGTGGAAGCGCAGAGGATTTCTCGGTTTCCTTCACAGCGAGTACCACGTCAACACATTCCTTCCCATTCCCCCTAGTTGACCTGCATTCGGACACGGCCGGCGCTGGTATTGCTAAATATTAGATCTCCAGTTCTTACACATTGAGGATGAATGTTAGTCACAAACATCATCTGTTTGGTTCTCTGTGTAATTGCAGCTGATCTGGTAATAACAGAGCAGCAACCGTGGGCGGTCAATCTGATTGTTTGTGATTGTTGATTGTTGTGTTGATATTAGTTCAGAACTCTCTCCCTACGCAGCGCTAGTGTGCATGTGATCTTCCTATATAAACTGTATCTCGAGAACCTGGCCATATACCGTATGCGTGATAATGTTAATTTAAAAAATTCTCAAAAATTTCGTTTTCGAGTTTTTTTTTTATTGATTCAAATGGAGGATATTTCTCAGAGTCTTAAACTATGTTAATCATCGATCGAGTTTCCACTTGCTGCTAATACGGCCTCCACACGCTTCCGGAATGCACGGCAGGTTCTAATAATGTAGTCTGGATCCATTTCTCTCCAGGTACGGGTCAATGTTTGCCTGAGGCTTGCTGTACTTGGGTGGCGTTTAGAACAGACTTTGGCCTTCATGACGCGCCATATTGAGTAATCCAGCGGCTTAAGATCGGGGCTGGATGGCAGCCACATATTCTTCGCCCAGAACGGAAGATGTTCCTGCAACCACTTCTGAGTGCGGTTCGAGGTATGGCACGGAGTCCCATCTTGTTGAAATACAACATTTGGCTTCGGACCGTACTGTTCTTTGATCCACGGAAGAACATACTTACTTAAAATCCCGATGTAGACCTTCGTGTTGCCTTGGCGCCTTCTGGAATGAACACCGACTCCATTTTTTTGCCATCGAAAGCCACCAATCCAAACACTATAACGCTAGCAGCATGCTTCCCAAGTAGCAATTCAGTAACCATTTAGCATCCACTCTGATTTATGATGGTTTTATAACGGTAATGAACAATGCATTTAGTTTAAATATAGCATTTTAAAGTGTAAAACATTCCTGCTTAGTAATTCAGCTTTTTGCTGTTTTAAAAACCTTTTATAGTCTGGCAAGAAAGTCAAAAACTGTCTTGTTTTAAAAATAAATTTAAAACAGTTATCAATCCTTCCTTAAAACTGTTCTATAATTCAAGCATAAACGTCATTAGCAATTGTTTATCAATGTCATTATAAAATACTTTATAAACGTGTTCTATCATTATAAAAGCAACCATAAAACTATTAGGTTTTGCATTAGAGAAAAAAGCATTTATTGTTGCTTTTTAGCATTTTTAAAAAGCATCTTTAACTCCCCAATTACTTTGTTTACAATTTTGAGCTTAAAAGATGGTTCCTCATAGTTACTAAATGCCAAATCTATGACAAGGAAATCTCGAAGGATAGATGAAGTAGGATGAAAAAATTAAGTCAATTTCAGATAAATTTACTTCTTTAGAAGAACCAGTACACTGACCATCTGTCGGAAAAAAAAGTAGAGTGAGCGAGGCCCTCGAACTCATAAAACATTGTCTAAAGTTGAAAAACACACCAGCCTTCTCCAGATCTTGCGATGACAATCGAAATAACAACCGACAGCAAACCACTGAAACTGTTAGTTAGCGGAGATTAGCTGGTTTCCGATCCAAAGCAGCGATTTTATTCGGCGAAAGACTCTTCGAAAATTTCATGCAACCGTACATCTCTGCATCATTGGATGGTGCACTTCTGTAACCATCCGGAAGAAGGGGATCTTTTTCGGGAACGATTGCGCTTCCAGCTGTTAGAAATGCGAAATGTTTTAAAACAGTATCGTAAACTATCTGAGTAACTGCTCCCAATCCATCGGGAGAAAACCGACTGGAAGAATCCTGGATCTCACAGTGCAACTATCGAAAGATAAACAAACTTTGACGTTTAACTTTCTGCAGGCAACTTTGCCTCCATAAATGCTGCCATAAATCTGACCGGGTTAGGATCAAGCAAAATGGCTTTAGATAAATACAATTCAGCCTGCAAGTTTTCTTCATAAAAGCCATTTTAAAACCTTATTAATTTGTTAAGGAATTCTTGAAAGCAAAACAACTTTTTCACAAATGACCCATGAAAATCAACTTTTATGCCACCGCCATGTTACAATTAGTTTGCTTATTTTTTTACAATCTTCGATTTTCAATCTATGTTGCCTTGGATATAACTATATTTTGGTAAATTTAGCAATGAGCAAACATTTTAATGCGAAAATCGTTTAAAAAAATCTCGGCCAAGCTCGATCTGAAGAATATATTTTTTTTTTTTTCAATGTGAAATAATTGGTCAAATCGACGTTTTACGAGGTTGGACTTAATTTTTTCGATGTTTTCACGTACATTTCACATAAAATTTAATATGGCACTAAAAACTAGGCCACTTAATGAGAACTATTGTAAAAGTTTTGATATTCAATTTTATACCATCAGTTTCTATTTTAATTATTTGATAAGATCGGATTCATAGATCCTTTTCTATCTTGATTGATGCTTTCCTAGTGAATTCAGCATGCGGCTAGGGGAAATGGCTCGAAAAGGGTTTTTATTGTTGCTAAATAGCATTTATTGTAGCTTTCAAATGGTTCTCAATGCGTTCGTCATAAAACCTTTTGCAGTAAATCAATCTTGAAGAGCTTCGAGAATACACCCTTCAGAACCTTCTCCAGGGTGGGCCAACTAGACACATTCTAGTCTTAATGAGGTTTTGGTTGATGCATTAATGACAAAGTAGCCTTGACCAGGGTTTTATGAATGTTGTTTTATAGTTGCTTTGTAGTATTTCATAAAACTTAAAATGTTACTTGAGTTGGTCAGATACACGTTCTTGTGCTCGTCGGCCACGTCTTTTACCGGAAGAGAACTAATATACCGGTCGGTTCTGGAATTTGATACGGGATCGACGGTAAACACGCTCTCGTTGGTAAACAGGATTACCAGATTTTTTCGCTTAAGAAAGTTCAAGTTCATTGCACATTGAAACACATCAAAAAAGCCGTAATGTGTAATTTAGAAATGATGCCTCGATAATTGAAAGTTTATTTTAATTGTTTACCTAGCATACAAAATCCTACGTGAACACGTGTTTTAACTGTTTCCTTTTTACTATACATGTCAACTAGCTTATGTGTTTTGTCTTTGTACTTTTCTGTTCTTGCATGCGAATTTGTGTTTTTTTAATAATCAAACCAGCGCGACTTACGGTTTTGGTGGTGGTGATGATGGTGACTTACGGTGGTGGTACCGACTATCGGTGATGGTGGCTTATGGTGATGATGGCTTCCAGTGATGGTGACTTTCGGTGACTTTTGGCGTGATGATGGCAATTGTCTTGCAGCCTGATGGATGTCGTCTTTGAATGGCGACTAATAAGGGCCTCAACAATGGTTTCCCTGATCATGCGTCTATCTAAAGAAAATGGACTTTTATCTATTGAATCGCCATATTGATGGTGAACGTGAATCCACAACTTGGACGTCGAGAATTTTCCTCTTCTGCCGTTGTCTTCAAGGGAGTACACGCAGAGTTGATTTCTGGCTCCGGGAATTGTATAACGTTCACGTGTGTCCAAGTTGGGACTAAAACTGGAAATAAATATCCGATTTATGCAAAATGGACGGAAAAAAGGCCTAGTCAGGCCTGTTAAAACAGACATTAGTCACAACCAGTGATGGAAAAAATCGCATCGCATAACGTTCAATTTGAAATCATTTACAAACATGTTCTTGGAAATATTTCAATCTCAGTTACCATCTCTATGGAGAGTAACGCATTCCCGTGAATGAAGGAGAGAAAGCAAAAGAAAGATAAACATACGACAGCGATCATTGATGTTTT